TCGTGGGATCATGGGCCTGCAAGATCTGAGCAGGCGTGGAGGGCAAGTTCAGCGGTACCTCCGAGTAACTTTTAATAGAAGGCAGGAAGCTCACAGGAGCAGAGGTGCGGCATTTCCACTTGGGAAGGGTCAGGCCAGGGGTGAGGAACATATTTAATTATGAATCAGAGATTTGCTCATTAAAGTAACTCACTCTAGGGTGATGTTTAAAAGAGGTAACCGAGTTCAAAGTTTAGTGGGTATGTGGAATGACAAAGGTGGGATAGGGAGTTTGGAAAAGGGAAAATGAAACCCTACACTGTTTTTCAGTGCAGAAATCAGAGACATTATTAAACTAATTAAATTAAAGCAAATGCTGACTCATAGAGCAACCTATAGGACAGAGGAGAACTGCTCTGGAGGATTTTCAAGGCTGTCAGTGTTTACGGGAACAGACAGCTTCGTCTGTTTCCCTCAGAGCTGCCAGTGGGTTCGAACCGCCAGCCAATGCTTAGTTAGCAGCCCAGTGCTTAACCCATTGCACCACCAGGCCAAACCCATGGTCCTGAGTCAATTCTGACTCATAGCAGCCTTTTAGAGGAAGTAGAGTTGTTCACGGGGTTTCTGAGTCTATAAATCTTTACAGCAGCAAGGAGTGAGTCACCTCTTTCTTCTGCAGAGCCCTGGGAGGGTTTGTACCCCTGACCTTGCGGTCAGCAGTCCACCATTTATCCCACTGTACTACCAAAGCTCCTCAATTAAAGTATTACATTATTAAAAGCTGTACTTTGGAGACAGAGAGACCACAGAGGGGACAGCTGGGAACACCTGTCGGGGGACGCAAGCAGAGATCGGAGTAAGCCCCACTCTTCTATCCGGGCCTGTTCTGTGCCCCTGACAAGTGATGGCCTTGTCCCCTTCTGGCACTCTGCTAGGTTTGTATTGTATGAGTACTGAAGTGATCGCTAGTCTACTGAAACTGAACAAACACTCCAACGGTCTCTAGCAGCCTAAATGGCACTGAGAATAAATACTGCAAATTGATGAAACGACCAAATTGCCCCCATTATCCTCAAAACTGAGAGGCGATTCAACAGCCCCTCTCACCAGTGAGTTCTACAAGGATGAAAATGCAGAGGCCACGCTCTTGGGGCCTGCGAGGACTTGGAGTACCTCCAGTTAATTGTTGCAATTGGTTTCGTACTGGGAAAAAGAAATGGCCTATGTGCCTGTCCAGCAGCTTAGAAACCAAACAACCATTAGACAACATAAACTGGTTCCCATGGTAACAGCTCCACCACATTGGCCCACTTGTCCCTGGTTCTGACTCTCATCACTTCCTCCTGGGTACTGTCTTACTTCATGTCATCGGGCACGTGAACTGCTATTCAAAAGTGTTTCTGAATAAGTCATGTCCACATCTACCCAATTGCTGTCCCAGCCACTGCGCTCTCTGGGATCCTGGTCTCTCAAGTCTATGGGCTCTGTTGCTTCTTCTTCTTAGATAACGACTGATTGTTTAAGATCCTGTGTAAATGTTCAACCTCCCAACAAGTGACAGATTATATATTCTCACTGTCCAGATGCAAGTAAGTCTCCTTCTTCTAGACAGATGCTGCGGCTCTGACTGCCCGCTCCTGCCTTCTTTAAGTTTCAACCCCTAGGGTCAGTCCATGCAGCAGGTTTGCTCCTAACCCCTAGAGCTCAGGTCAGGTTGGACCTCTGCCCGTCCGTCCCTAGCTGCAGCATCCTGCATCATCCCACATGACCAAGTTTCAGGAACTGGGTTATTTTGGGATTGGTGCCCTGTGCTTGCCCTCAACCACAGTCTCTGTGGCTGGAACCTAATAACAGAGTGTCCTTCCCTTGTCTGATTACCTAGAATATTCCCTCCTCTTTCTAGAAACAAAAAGAATGAATGCATCCTCAGTTTGAAAATGCAAAGTATAAAGAGGAGAAAATGAGCACTGGTTAGTGTATATTTTCTTTTACTTTATTCTAACCCCCAAAATTTCACTGGCATAAATGGGCCATCCATTCTTTATACACCAAATCTTTATTTGCCCTGGCATGGCACTGTGGGCTAATGTGCTGGACCACAAAATTGGTTTCAACCACAAGGTCGGTGGCTCAAGCCACCAGCTGCTCTAGAGTCACTATGGGTTGCAACCAACTCAACGGCACTTAACTTCAACAACAACAATCTTTATCTGTAATACTCTTGCTTGTAGGCATATGAACTTCTTGATGACCCACTAACAGACACCAGAGGAATTCAAAAGTATTCATTAGGAGGAATATACACTTACAGGCAGTCCCAGGTTATGAATGACATCTATGCCTACCATTCCAACGTGTGCCTCGAAGCTAAATTTGTATGTAAATCAGGACAGGTGCATATGGTGGGTCTTACAGAGCCTTACTTAGTGCAAGAAAAGGCTTGAAGCCTTTTCAATGATATACAGTGAAAGTGATTGTGATCGCTTTCTGAGAAGGGGTTTGTTTATTCTGAGAAAGGATTTGGTTCAATCCTTTCAAAGTGAGGACAAATTTATACGACGTTTAAGGGCAGGCTTGACTTGTCTGCATACCGGACCCTCGTAACCTGAGGACTGCCTGTATTTGAAACAAGTCTCATCAAAATAAAAGAATCATCTATACAAATGCAGTAATTGAAGAAACAGCACGGAAAGAGGTGCATTTTAAGAAGTCCTCGTCCCCATTCCCAAACGTTCAACCAAGGTTCCTCTTGTCTTCCAATGTACAAAAATCAAAATGGGCTGTATGTGATGACATATGGGTTCAAGGAGCACCTGAAATCTGTCAGAGCGTAATTCTCAACACTTAGGATAATTAGGGGAGTTTTTAAAGGTAATCAGGAAGAGACAAAAGCCTCCTGCCCATCTCACAGTGGAATTGCTCAACTTCTGAAACTTTATTGATGCTACTCCACCCCCCGAGCCCCCTATATACACATACTCTAGCCCTGCAGAAACAAACCATCAAGCAAAACGAACAGGCTTGTGGACTAATGTTCAAGTTCATGAATATAGGACCTATTTTTTCCTGAATAAAGGCTCTAAGAAAACAAAATCACTTTTCTGAAAAGAATCCACACAGAAATGGTAGTCACATCATTACTACAAAAGATATTTGTAACTTGGAAAGTCACATGAAACAGCCAGAGTCTCATCATAATTGGTTCCTATTTACACTATCTGAAGGGAGAACAAAATCTTTTTTTTTCATTATTTTTTGAGAGTCGAATGAGTCCCTTCATTTTCTTAAACATTTAAGATATCTATTGTGCTCATTCAAATTTAGGATTCAAACGTGATCAAATGACCCAGCTATCATGCAGACCAGGGGTAGGGAATTGTTTTTCTGCCAAAATTTATAACATTATTGGTAGACCATACAAAATTATCAACTTAAAAATTAGCCAGCTATACTTGGTCAAACATTTAATTAACTCACACCTAATTTGATGTAATTAAAAACAATAACAATTTGATGGAGTCCTTGTGTGGCTCTGTGGGTTAATGTGCTGGACTGAAAAGTCGTTTGAACCATAAAGTCGTCGGTTCAAGCTAACCAACCCCTCCTTGGAAACCCTGTATAGGGTCACTATGGGTCGAAACCAACTCGACAGCACATAACAACAATTAATTTAATGGCTGGAGTCCTGGTGTGGTGCTATGGGATAAGGTACTAGACTGCAAGATAGGTTTGAACCACAAGGTCGGTGGTTCAAACTCACTAGCTACTCCTCGGAAACCCTATATATAGGGTCGCTATGAGTTGGAACTGACTCCATGGCACTTACAACAATAACAATAATGCGATGGGTGGAACTATGGTTGTTTTAGCAGACCCAGACCAAATGACATTCCCCACCCCTGACCTAGGCTAAGCAAAAATGCAAGGAAAACTTTTAAGTTCCCAGATTTCATGGGCTGTTTAGCGCACAATATGCAATTGCATGGAGCTCTGGTGTGCTACTGTAGGATAAGCGCTGGACTGCTAACTGCAAGGTTGGTGGTTCAAACCCACCAGCTGCTCTTCGGCAATCCTAGACAGGATCACTATGGGTCGAAACCAATTCGCCGGCATTTAACAACAACATGCAACTGCAAGCCACATGAAACAATAACAACATGATGAAACCTCTTATGATTGTTTGAACTAGTCTTGAAGCCAATTTACATCCCTCACACACATGCCTGGTACTCAGTATGCCCTTTTAAGACAAAGAAGCTTAACAACAATAAACCAACCAGATTGCAGGAAGACCTCTCACTATAAGTAAAGTTCTAAAGCTCCTACTACAACCAAATCCATGCACTATTGCCCAATCATACCACTCAACGCCTAGTCAATCAACAGAGACTAAAAGGACTAAGAACCAAAGGCTCTTGGGTCCCCCCATCCAGGCCAGCTTTTCCAACTCAGCTGATCCTATCAACATTTAGAATGCGACCCATTGCTATTTTTAAGTGAGTTCATCTTTAACAAAGTTTCCTGGTTTTAAAGCAGACATAAGTTTTTATTCCTTGAATACTTGGGAAATTGTGCAAGGCAGCTGAGGATGGACCAAGCAACAGGAAGTGTCTCCTTTTTAAGAATAAATCATAACCACCCTTCTCGGCACAAGCAGCCATTATAAAACAGTGTACCTCTACAACAAGACGAGTGCCTGATACCCAAGACATTCCTTGTTGCCCGCGCATTGGAAATGTGTAAAGGTGCTTGCTTTGATCAAGCCACTGATGTACCTGCTACATAATCCTAATTTCACCAAGCAGTCACATACTGCCAGAATATGATACCAGTTGCAACAGACCAAAGACGCTGTCCCCAGAAGTCCAGTTGCAGGCTAATTGTTCCACAGCTACCAGGAGACTTGACTAAGCAGAAATGAACAGAGCTGGCCCAACACACCCAAACAGTGACTTCTCCACAGCGTGCCTCTTGCTAACCTGACAAGCAGTGGGAAGATGGGAGATGCTGCTGAGACCTACCTTGCAGAAGGGCTCCGTTTCTCTTGAAGAAGGTGCTGCCTGGCCAGATGGGTGGACCTGATGTGCTGAAACAGAACAGAAACCAGCATAAGTCCATCGTTCACAATGACCTACACATCCACCCTTCTCTAAACGCATCCGCTCACAGTGACCTCAAAGTATTTCCCCAGGTAGATGTTATTCAGACTCTCTGAAATTACATCTTTAAACACCGAGAGGCTGCTTTTATGACAAACAGGCTTAGCGCTGAACAGTGCAGACGCTGTCCATGTGTGGACTCTTCATCTACAACATCCTCAACCTGCCCTCTCTCCCGGGCCCTGAACTCATCCTTCAGGGAAACAAAACCAAATGGCAAACTCACACGGCTCAATGCCATCAGAGTTCGGAAATCCAGAGTATCTGGCAACATGCTAATCATTTTATGAATTTCTATGTAAAAGAATCCCTGCTCATCCACCCCGAGATCAAAGGGATTTGTCAACAATTCTTAGTGCCACTTGTCCATTACAAATGCAAATTTGCTTTCGTAAGCCTTTTCAACCACTGGGCCCTTAATATACAGAAATGACCTTGCATGGCTTCCTCCTGCTCTGCAGCCTCTTATTTCTAATCCTGTTTCCAATTTCTTAGTTTAAAATGTTGCCTTCCATCCCCTATAAAACATTTTGCAGAGGTGTTACCACCCACAGTCTGGTAACAGGAGAAGCATGAAAATACCAACAATCAATATGTCACAGAGGTACTCACTGCATTTCCAGAGAAGCAGTTTCACTGTTTTAAGACACCCAGCGAAAAACTTTATAACCCAACCAGTCTTAGTAAAATATCCTTAGAGTGAAAAGTAGGCCATTCGAAATCAAGGCTCAGTTAAGATGAATGATCGGAAGTCAAGGCGCTTCGACAGAAATGTTACTATACTCGATTCGAGAGTCAGTATAAATTACTTTCACCAAAAGAGTACGTGGCAAATGATCTTGGTTAATGTATCGTCAATCAGCTTCAAGGATAAAAAGCTGGTCTGAGATAGTATATTTCGAAGTTCGGCATGTGTGCATGGGCATGCGCACACACAAGGAGTGAGACATCTGAAGGCTTGTACAATGGTGCTCTACTAGTCAGCGAGGCTTCCTGATACTGTAGGACCACAATGATGTCAACAGGAAGGAGAAATGCCAGCGAAAACGTTCTGTTGACCAGAGGTACAAACAGCACAGCACATACAAAGGATGTGTTACATGACTGGGGAAGAAGAGTGCAGCCATGAACAAAAGAGCCTATCACATAACATTCCATGAAATGTCAAAAGAGTGTCAAATGTGCTAGCAAACATATACTCCACACCTAGGTGTAAACAAACCTTTATAACTCTCTCTGTTTGGGACCCAACTAAACTTAATGTCTCTGCTGTTCATTAAGGATGCCAGCTTGAGGACTAAGGTGCGTCTGACCCAAGCCATGGTATTTTCAATAACCTCATATGCATG